TCATTCGTTAACCGAAACCATTGTTTCAATGGGTTTTTGGGTAATTGGTTCCAGCTAACCGAAAATTTCCTAACTTCAACAAAAATGGCGGAAAAATTTACTTACTTTGAGGTGTGTATGTAGAAGGCTCCTGGATGATGGTGATGATGTGCATTTGAAGTGGGAGGTGGAGGAGGAGAAGGGAGAAGAGAAGGAAGTGGAGGTGGAGGAGAAGCATTTTACTGCTTCTTGGAAGGTGAGTCACCTTCCATGAAAATGTCAGGAACCTCTGGACTGACAGATTCTCCACCATGAACATCCTCTCTCCTTCTTGAAGTGGAAGGCTGAGGGCTAGCATCTTGTTCCCTCTGCCTTTTACTGAAGAAAGTGTCAATTGTGGTCTGTGGGGCATCTGTCCTCCTCACTATTAACTTATGTTTAAAGAAGGAGACCACTGAGTCCTCAACATGACACAAAGTTAGTTCAGTTTTTTCCACTTCTGGGTGCTTTGAAGCCAGTTCCCTGAACTTCTCCCAGTGGTAAATCACATCTTTCAACTGTTTAGCTGACATATGGTCATCACTTTCAATTTCCTCCTCACCACTGTCAGCCTCTACCTGTAACATCTCATCCAGTTCCTTCAAGTCATCAGGAGTAAGTTCCTCCTCATGAGACATCACAAGCTCTTCCACATCCTTCTCCTCCACTTCAAGGCCCAATGACTGACCAATGGACACAATCTCCTGGTCCAACTCTGTGTCATCCTCAAATCCCTCAAAATCATGGACTTCTGATGGCCACAGTGCTTTCCATGAAGAATTGAGGGTTCTATTGGAGACTTCTTGCCATGATGACACAATCAATTTTACAGCCTCCAGGACGTTGAATTGTGTCTTCCAGAACTGTTTCAGTGTTAGTTCAGGATCAGCGGAAGTTGCCTGATGACACCTCCTAAACATTTTCTTCATGTACAACTTCTTGAAGTTGCTGATTACATTCTGGTCCATTGGCTGTATGAGTGATGTAGTGTTTGGAGGCAAAAACAACACTTTCACAAAGTCAAATTGATACTCCAAATTTCTGGCAAGGTCAGGGTCATGACCAGGAGCATTATCCATGAGGAGAAGAGCCTTTCAAGGAAGTTTATTGGTGGTTAGGTAGCTCTTGACAGAGGGGCAAAACACATCAACAGCCCATTCATTAAAGAACTGTCTTGTCACCCATGCCTTACGGTTGGACTTCCAATAAACTCCAAGCATTGTTCTTACCACTTTCTGTTGCTTGAACACCCTGGGGTTTTCAGAGTGGTAGACAAGCATAGGCTTCAGTCGGAAATCCCCTGAAGCATTGGCACCAAGCAGTAGAGTGAGACGGTCTTTCATGGGTTTATGGCCAGGTAAAGAGGCTTCATCTCTGGTGATAAATGTTCTTTTGGGCATCTTTTTCCAGAACAGCCCAGTTTCGTCCACATTGAACACTTGCTGTGGAAGATAATTTTCTTCTTCCATCAGTTTTTTAAATTCAACTAAAAACTTTGCTGCCCCTTCTTTATCAGCACTAACAGCTTCACCATGCCTAGCAACACTTAAAATGTCACTTCTTTTCTTAAATTTTTCGAACCAGCCTTTGCTAGCCCGAAATTCTTCAAATTCTGTTCCTGAAGAACCAGGTTGATCTGCCTTTAAATGTTCATAAATCTCCCTGGCTCTTTCACAAATGAAATCACCAGAAACTGAATCACCTTTCATCTGTTTTTCCCTAATCCAGATGATAAGTAACCTCTCAGTTTCTACGATTAGGGATCTACTTTTAAACACTCTTGTAGATTTGTCTCTCACGTTCACTTCCTTAAATTTGTCTTTTTGTGCAAGAATTGTCGACACAGTTGATGCCGACATGCCATATTCTTTGCATAGCGCATTTGATTTAATACCTTGTTCGTGTTTTTTTATTATTTCCTGCTTTATTTGGATTGAAATCGCTTTTCTTGATCTCTTAGGCCCCATGCTGGATTCAAACAATGGCAACACGTATTTTTCAAAGTTAAACTAGCTGTAAATAAAGAATATTTTCTTTAAAATAACACTGCACTGCACTATATATTGTCAATATGTAAAATAATTTTCAAAATGACCAATAATTTGCTTGGAAACACAAAAAAAGCGTTTAGTTGAAGAGAGTCTCAAGCAAGATGTTACCTCCAGTGAAAACAGAGAGAGACTGACACCTGTTTCCTGTGTTAAGAGGCTGGATGCCGCGCATTAAACTAGTCACTTTACCTTCAATTTTGCTCAATAATTGTTAAAATGACTAAAAAATTGAATATTAAACTTTTAAAATTATTGAATAGTATAAACTTCTTGATATTTACTAAAATAGTAAGGAATTTAAGCCCTAGAACCGATTAATGTATTGGCGGACTGATACTAAAGCTGGTTGCCCGGTCAGTGCAAGCGAAAACATGTTGAGGTCGGTTCGTAAGAAGTTCGTTAAGCGAAATTTTTTTCGTTAACCGAATTGAAGATCCGAGGTGTTCGTTAAACGAGGGGTCACTGTACAGTTATCTAATGTTAATTGTATGTATTCATAGCATTAAGGAGAATTCAGGGTATCCATAAGACGATTGGGAAAGTCCAGTTGAGCCGGGCTAGTGTACTGTAGGACTAAGTGTGGATCTTGGTTTGAAGGTCATACTATTTACGTCTGTGAACGTGTAGCGAACATAACTTCCACAGATATCATATGAAAATACAATGATCTGGAAAAAGGATAAAGGTATCATTACTATGTGAAGTGCTGGAAGTGATCTAGAAACTATGCTTCAAAAAGAATATCGTGTATACCCACGCCATGAAAATACGATGCTAGGCTTTGTTTGGGTTGGCGCTTAGGCCGCCTCGGGTGTGCCTCGTTGATATTATAACCCAATGAATATACCCACGAACTAGCAAACCAAGACCTTACCTTAGTGTGTAATTTAGGATTAAAATATGTGTTTATACGGCATGAGTGACAATATACCGAAAAGTGTTCAGGTGAGAACCGTAAGAAATAAAAGTAAAAATTAAAGATTGGAAACTGTAGGCCTACGTGGTGACGAGCGGCGGGGCACTGCCCTCAGTACCCTCCGTTCTACCGTCACCTCAGGTCAGTGTCCTATCGGGCTATATCCCGCCCTATAATTAAGGCTTGTATAGAAGTTATTACAGTTTAAAGCTTTGCCTGATATATAAGTGTAATAGTAATGTGTTAGGGGGTGTGATAACCGCCCGTCAGGCATTATTTCTCAGTAACCTCCATTCTACCGTCACCTCAGGTGCCATGCCCGGCAGCCATTATCCCTATGAGCGTTCCAACAGGTGGTGACTACTCCCAGCTATGCCAATCCTCTGTGAACCGGTGGATATCCAACACACCACTCTAAATGAGTAAGAACAAATAAGGAAACGCTTGAGAAACTCTGCGGTCGTCTCTGGGTGAAGCCCTCGTCTTTACCCACCGAGGGCGGTGTGCGAACGAGGTGCCTGTTGTGTATTCCTTAAAGTCACAAGGAGTTCCATACCTGCAGGTGTGGAGGGTAACGGGTGTGTTGAGAGGGTGCTACTATGTATGATAACCGACGGTGCTATATCCATACAGGTGGAGCAGTCTGATGTGTTAAGGGGTAGTGTAAGAAGGAATGACCGAGGTAAGGTGGTCACACATTGTTATGCAATAAGTATGTGGATGACACGCCATTAATGTAAGACATCTGGTGCCCATCTGGGTAACCAACATTTTTGTTGTTCTTCTGAGAAAGACCAATTCATTTGTATGTTTTTTACCAGTATGCTTTATAAGGAATAATTTAATTAAGACATGTTATGGTTTCACCCTTCTTTCCCCTTATCGATCTGGTCAATGGAAAACCTATCCCAATGCCTAGTCCACTCTGCACGCTACCTAACGAGCTACATGCTGTCTAGAGGGGGTCTGGTGGTAGCGACCCTTAGAAATTAAGATTAGAGTTAAGTATTCCCCCTTAGCATTAGTGACCCCCAGTCTGGCAGTATATAATGACCTTTGAAATAAGTAAAGAATTTTAAAATATTTAAGAAGTCAATTCTGCTGTGCCCCATTACAGTATAAAAATCCTCTATATCATTACTCCTCAACAAATTTGTGTCCATTTCTTCCCATGTTGCCGTACATTTATGTTTAGAAGTAAATTCATCTACCAGACACGAGTACAGTATCACCTTCGCAGCTGTCAGATGTGCATTCCAGTTAACGTCCTTCTACCTTGGTGTTTGTCGGGTAACTGAAGGTGAAATATGGCTTGTGACTGTTCCAGGATACTTGAGACAGGGTGGGAAGAATCATGATGTATCTCATACTTGCATAGGACTCCATTGGACTGAAACAGTTAAGAGGATATTCATGCCAAGAAGTGATGTTTGACCCCACCAGGCTAGAAGGGTTGGACGACTGAGAGACCAATGTATGATTGAGAACTAGTTGTTAAGTCAGTTGTTGTCAAAGTGTAACAAGATGTTTCTCTTCTAGAGCTGCAGTGAGCTCTTGTACTCGACAAGCATTGGTTCACCTCTCATTTTTTAAATGGGATTTCAAGATCATTCCCAGATTTTCATTTCCATTTTTTAGTCCATATATTTTCTACCATATTGTTTTTACTATTAAGACTATCAATGATATACTGTACGGTAGTTTGTACCTGTGGGTGGTGGGGGGGGGGCGGAGTTGTATTTCCTCACCTTTGCTGCTGGATGTTATTGATGTTGTGATTGTTTCCAAACTTAATTTTCTTGTACCCATCAACACAATATTGCATAGATCCCTTGTTCCTAGGTATAGGAATTTGCCATTTGATTTTGAGTTGAGTGTGTCAGAGGTGAAGGTTAATGTATAGCTGGCCGAGAGGTCTATGTGAAGGTTGTGACTATTTTATCTTAAGTTTATTAATGTTATTGTAGTCATTTTTAGGATTATTTCACTGATATGTTTTTCTTTCCTTCCCACAGATATGAATTGGATAGTGGAAAAAGATGAAGTAGATTGTGAGAACATTGTTGGGCGCAGTTGTAAAGAACAGTGTGCAAGACAAGTATTACCAACTGAAGGAAAGAATTCTAAGTATACAAGAAATTATTCAATGTTGAAATAATTAAAAACTTGTGTGCAAATTCACCTCCTCATAATACTTTTGTCAATTGTAGTAATATTTAACCAGCCATCACAAGTAGTGTACTTGTAGTATATCAGGATGAGTATCATCAGAGGAACTGTACATATAACAAGAGTATATAATTTTTGTACTCTTCCCTGTTGAGTGTTACTATAGTGTATGTTGTAAGTCAAAAACAGTGTTTGTTAATTTATATATTAATGACAACTAAAGTTATTTGTGTAACTCATTCTTTACACTATTTTTCACATTTAATCAAAGAGGTATTGAGGAACCTTATTAATAATGGTGTAGTCACATCACAAACTGGATCTTCCATCACACTTGCCTCCCCACTGTCCACCCATCTCAGCATCAATACATCAGTGTCAGTAAATTACATTCACTAATAGATTTGTTTCAGTTGTGTTTGTTGTTTTTCAAATATAATTAACAGTAACAAGATATTAATAGCTCCTGTAGGAGGAAACCATTTCCCAGTTCAGAGTCACTAAAACCTTTGAACACAATACACACAGTTTTATAATGGAAGGTCACTCAGAGGAACAGTCGGAGTCTCCCAGAGAATTGTCTGTAAATTCACATCAGGTAACAAATTTGAAAGATGACTTACACCAGAAACTGTTTGCGTGTCCAGAATGTCAAAAAGGTTTTCCACAAAAACATAAATTAAATTACCATATGAGAATTCATACAGGAGAGAAATCATATCAATGTTCTGAGTGTCTGACAGACTTTGCACATAAATCTTCTCTATATGCACACATTAAACGTCATACAGGAGAGAAACCATATCAGTGTTTTTTGTGTCGGAAAGACTTCTTACATAAATCTTCTTTAGACGCACATATGGGAAGTCATAGAAAAGAGAAACCTCATCAGTGTCCAGAATGTTTGAAGAACTTTCAAGATAAATCTAATCTCAAAAGACATATGAGAATTCATACAGGAGAGAAATCATATCAATGTTCTGAGTGTCTGAAAGACTTTGCCCGAAGAGGTACTTTAGCCGCACACATGAGAAGTCATACGGGAGAGAAACCTTATCACTGTTCTCTGTGTCTGAAAGACTTCGCACTTAAATCTTCTTTAGTTGCACACATGAGAAGTCATACGGGAGAGAAACCTCATCAGTGTTCTGTGTGTCTGAAAGACTTTGCACTTAAATCTTCTTTAGTTGCACACATGAGAAGTCATACAGGAAAGAAACCTTTTCAGTGTTCTGTGTGTCTGAAAGACTTTGCACATAAATCTTCTCTACATGTACACATAAAAAGTCATACAGGAGAGAAACCATATCAGTGTTTTTTGTGTCTGAAAGACTTCTTACATAAATCTTCTTTAGACGCACATATGGGAAGTCATAGAAAAGAGAAACCACATCAGTGTCCAGAATGTTTGAAGGACTTTCAAGATAAATCTAATCTCAAAAGACATATGAGAATTCATACAGGAGAGAAATCATATCAATGTGCTGAGTGTCTGAAAGACTTTGCCCGAAAAGGTACTTTAGCCATACACATGAGAATTCATACGGGAGAGAAACCTTATCGGTGTTCTCTGTGTCAGAATGATTTTGCCCAAAAAAGTTTTTTAGTCACACACATGAGAAGTCATACGGGAGAGAAACCATTCCAGTGTTCAGAATGTCATAGAGGATTCTCTGAAAAATGTTCTGTAGTAAAACACATGAAAGTTCACAAAGTAAAACCCTTTCACTGTGTAAGATGCAAAAAGGTCTTTAAGGAGAAAGAGAGTTTAACATTTCATACAAAGAGATGTTCTCAGATTCACCAAGTGCCTAACTCACATTATAATGAAGGTGAAAGCTGCCAGGATTTCCACCATGACTTGAGCTTGTCATCCCAACCAACAGTGGAGATGGGTGTTTCTGAAGGAGTGAAAAAGTGTGTTTCTGAAGGAGTGAAAATGGAAACTAATTGTGATCCACTCTCAGAAGCTTCACCAGGGTCTGAGATAATTGATCAATCATCTTTAAAGATGGAGTGCCAGGAACAAGCAGTTTATATTAAGGAAGAATTTTGAAGTTGTTTTTGTTGAATACACTGTATTGTACTTGTGCTACTGATATTCTTATTAGACTGAACTTCATGTTATGTACATTTTGTGAATAAAATCGTTACATTTTGTGATTGAAATATAAAGATATAAAATTTGAAACCATTTGAAATCCCAAACATGACTTGTGGGTACATTGGTGGCAGTCATTTCCCTACCCAAGTGCAGGTCTCTGGCAACTGTACAGGTACAGTACCTTTTTTTTCATGCAAAAGTTCTGTTTATGTAATTTTGTAATACAGTAGAACCTCCTTATTTCTAACTGCTCTTACAAACTTTGCTTAATCAAATGAATTTCAAATTCAAACAGATTATTTCCTTTTCAAAGTTCAACATATATCCTTAGTGAAACATGGCCTTTGTTATTCTATATGTTTCATATGCCAAAAATAAACAAAATCTGTATAATAAACAATAAAAATGATACATTGTGCATCATAAAATACAGTAACATATTTTTTCTACTACCAAAAAAAATCTACTGTAATGTGTACATCACTTCCTCTTTCTTCAGTCATTTAATATTTGAGTACTGATCTGAGGCTCAGGCTTTCTAGACCTCCTCCTCCTCCTCCCCCCCCCCAGCAAATACATAACCTGGCTATTTTCTGTCTCAAGTTGTCGGTCTTCAATATTGAGCCATGGTCCAACTCTCACCTGTGACTGTTGGGAGAAATGTGGGATAGCCTCCTTTTGCCTGTGTCTCCTCGAACATAGCTGGAATTTGAGCCTGTCAAAATTATATTGGCCTTGTTTAGAAGAAAAGAAAAAATACTACAACACCACCGACAAAGCTATTTAGTAATTTATGCAAGGCCATTAACGTATTCGTCTGTATTATGTTTGCATACACGTCATTTTCTCGATTTAACTGGTAATACTACGACTAAGTTTAGTCTCGCCACAAGATGTGTCAACTGCATATTTAAGACACATTAGCTACTGTCATCCATTCTATTAATTGTGTTCCCAGTGTATATTGTGTTCAACTATGGTGTTCCCCTTCCACAACATGGCCTAAAAGAATCAGTCACACAATGACTTAACAGCGTCGCCCATGAAATCACTACCGTATAAGAGCGAGTGAGTCAGCTGTGTACTCTTCATTGCAATGAAGCAACAAAATATAATAAGTTCACATTTAAATAGGTGTGGAGTCAATCTTTGTGGAGAAGTGAGAAAGTATAGTAGCTGAATGAGGCAAGCTACAAATTACAATAATGAATACACTACTGAATATCAATGCATAACACACAATCAAATATGAATACAGTCTCTCCTCGACTTACGACAACCCTGACATACGACGGCCCTGTCTCCTCCTCTGCTTCATCCAATTAATGTTGTCTCCATGCTTAATTAAAAAAAATTATTGAGGCCCCGTGTGCATTCAGCTGACTACATTAAAGGTAAGTGCACAGTAACACTTATTGATCACTTTCAAACCCAACCACAGTGGTCGTCTTCTCATGTTTGTGGCTCAGGGAGGAGAACACTTTACCACCATCTAGGGAGGAAAGGTGGAGCATTGGGCAGATATCCAAAAGAACTAATCAGTAAGGTCTCAGAATTTTAAGTGCTTGGAATATTAAAACCAAATCGACACCAAAACAAACAACAGCTAAAAGTGGAGGACTTATCCAGATATCCATACTTATAACAGATCAACATTAAACCTTGTCATCACTGTTTTATGGTTATTTCTATTCCCGTGTGGGTTAACCATGATTATCTGCACTTTAGAGCA